CCCCAAAACCCCAAAACCCCAAAACCCCAAAACCCCATGGGGAACTTAATTTATTGAAAATAATTTTATATGTAAGTTGAGTTTTGATGGAGTATTTTGTCTGTTGGCCAGGATGGTATTGGGGCTGTTTTGGGGATGACGGGAGTTATTTTATAGATCGTAGGGATATCTTAATGGAGATAGAGTCAAGGAATCGATTAACACATAGAAATAAGAGCCAAGAGAATGAGAATTCTTCATGACTTTATAAAGAAGATGGGCTTTTGAAAGTATATAATAATCAAAAAATTTTGAACGACTTTGATTGATCTGCTAAAAGTAGGAGGCTCTGTTAACTCTTTAGATCAGTTTAATAGGCACATGAAGGCTAAGAGACTCTAAAGGATACTCTAAACCAGCAATGATTATCCAAAAAATTAGTTCTGAAGTAATATAATCCAATTGAATTCTTTAGCGAGAAGATATCACTTGCATCTGGAAAGCACTGCTCAATTTTGCATAAAAACAATAGTCTAGTAGAACCTCCGATCATCCAAAGTATTGGTAGTTCAATGAAAATCCATCACGTCCAGGTTGCTAAGTCTAAGGCTCGAACCTCAAATCAGAAAGAAGAACACTGTAAGCTCCAAATTAAATCATATAGCTCTCAAAGACGATATTCTGCACAAGAGAAAACTAGAACTAGAAGCCATCAAGTCATTTAAAAGGAAGATGCAGGAGAAATAGACAGCGGGCAATCAAAGAACTCGAAGAGTTCTTTGACCGCAGCGGCTCTGATTCCTCTTCCTCTCAAGATGGCTCAAATGAGTTCTTAGAAATAATTCAACCTAAGAAGAAAATAGAGATTTTCTCTAAAGCTGGCCATCTCAAGCACCGCTATAGAGAACTTGAGAGTCTCAAAATTACGAAGCAAAGGAGCCATGAAGTCCGTTCTAGAGTTACGAAGAAGAAAAGAATGAAGATCAACTACGATGACTATGAAATTACCCATGTCATCGGCAAAGGTGCAACAGCTGTTGTCAAGTTAGCCACTCATAACAAAAAGAAGACTAATATTGTGTTCAAGATATATGAGAAGAGCCAGCTTGGAAACTCTCAGATGAAAGCTTTAAGGACAGAAATTTCAATTATGAAGAAACTAGACCATCCTAATATCATAAAACTCTATGATGTCATTGAAGATGACGCCAAGATTATGCTAGCAATGGAGTATCTCTCTGGAGGATGCCTACGTAACTATCTTAAGAAGAGGGCTCATAAGAAAGTCAGTGAGGAAGAGACTAAAATTTACTTCGGTCAAATTATCCAAGCTGTGAAGTACCTACACTCTAACAACATCTATCACAGAGATTTGAAATTGGAAAATATACTTCTAGACTATAAATAAAGATATCAAAATTATCGATTTTGGGTATAGTATTCAATGAGAGCCTGAAGATCAACTTGAGGTCTACTGCGGAACAGCCCCTTACATGGCTCCAGAGATGATGATGAAGCAGCCATATTGAGGAAATCATGTCGACATCTGGGCTCTCGGAGTTATAGTATACATCATGCTAGCTGGAAACTTACCTTTTAATGGCAAAAATGAAGAGGAGCTTCGAAAGAAGATATGCTGTGGACAGTACAGAAATCCTACAAAAATTTCATTTGATTGTAAACGATTTCTTTCAAGTATTCTAAACTTAGACCCAATGAAGCGTCCATCAGCTAACGATTTGTTCTACGATCCTTGGAACTCGAGTTTGTTTCAAAGAAAGCCAATACAAGAAAGAATGAGGAAGAATAAATCTTTCTTAAAACCTATTCAGATGGCAAGAATGCAGAACATCAAGAAAGGGCTAGCTCTGACACAAAAGAAAGATCTCAAAAGGAGACTACTCCAGTATTAGAATTAGAATAAATCAATATAGTTGAAATTTATTGGGGTTTTGGGGTTTTGGGGTTTTGGGGTTTTGGGG